CAGGTACCCAGGAAATTGATGAACAACTGTTGTGGCATAGGCGTTTGGGGCATTTAAATAGGGTTAGCATGCGTTTGCTTAAAAAGGGTTTAGCTGGAGGCACTGATTTTCAAGAACAAGAAGCTCAGACAAAGAAATGTGTTTCATGCCTGGAAGGCAAGATGACAAAGAAGCCTTTCCTACAATCAAAGAACAAACGGTCAAAAAGGATACTTGATCTATTACATTTAGATCTGGTTGGGCCATTTGAAGTACCCTCTTATGGGAATGCTACATATTTTTTGACTATCGTGGATGATCATAGTAGAAAAATCTTCATTTGTTTCTTGAAACAAAAAGGTGACACATATGAAGCCTTCAAGACAGAAACTGGATAGACTATAGGAGCTGTTCATTCCGATAATGGTGGTGAACTTTGCGACAAATTATTCAATGACACTTTAAAACAAAAGGGAGTTAAAAGGGAATTCTCTGTGCCATATAATCCACAACAAAATGGAACTGCCAAATGAGCTAATTGCAGTATTTGGAAAAAACAAGATGTATGTTGTATGATTCCGACTGCAACAGAAGATTCTGGGCTGAAGCAGCACAAAGAGCCATATAGGTTTTGAACAGATCACCTCACAAGAAACTAAAGAACCAACTGCCTGAAGAAATATGGACAGGAGAAAAGAGCGATCTCTCCCACATAAAAATTTTCTGATGTCCAGCTTATGCTCATGTACCATCAGAGAAACGCCAAGAATTGGATGCAGTGAGCAAGAAATACATTTTTGTGGGACATAGTGAGGACATTAAAGCTTATCGGTTATCAAATCCCCTCAATCCGTCTCAAATAGTTAAGGCAAGAGATGTAGAATTTCTGGAAGAAATTATAAACAAGAAAGAGTGAGAAAGGATTTCAGCTTAAATGAAGGAAATGAAGTTCCATTAGAGCCGAACGGCTTAGAACAATTACCAGGAAATTTGGAAGAAAGACGATATCCACTTCGGAACAGGAAACAGAAAGAATTTCCAGAATTTATTACCTACTTAGCCATGCATAAAGATGAGGAGTCAGAACCAGTCACATATGAAGAGGCACCGTCAAGCTTTGAAAATCTAAATGGAAAGAAGCTATTCAACAGGAGCTAGAAGCTTTTCAAACAAACGAAGCATGGACAATAGTAGACAGACCGCCAAATTAGCCAGCAGTGAAGTCAAAATGGGTCTCCAAAATTAAATGAGATGCTGAAGGAAATATTGCATGTCACAGAGCACATTTAGTGGCGAAAGGTTGTAGCCAAACAAAGGGAATAGACTATTTTGAAACCTTTGTTCCCTTAGTGAAACACTCATCAATGCCCATGATGTGTATTTATCCTAACCGTCTTACAGTGCACACTTTTTATTTAATTTCACCTTTCTCTTCACTTTTACACCATATGTTTCAGCACTAATGTGCCATCTTCAGGTGTGTGTCTATGCACGTCAAACTACTGCACTGCATGCCATGACATCTTCATTCTAAAATGACTAAAATGTGTATTCGTCATGTATAACAATAAATTCTAAATATTAAAACCTTTCAGGATTCGTCATCCATACGTCGTATCTCAAATATGCGAATTACGCCAATCCTCCTCATGGACATGAACCAGTGCAACAGGACGCTAAAATATAACATAACTCATCAATGCGTTTGTTATTTGCTTTAGCTGCTAAGCATGATTGGAACATTGACCACCTTGATGTCTGTACTGCGTTTTTAAATGGAGATACTGAGGACGTTATATATATGGAGCTTCCTGAAGGATATGATATTAAGGGGGAGTCTAATAAAGTTTGCAAGTTAAAAAAATCAGTTTATGGACTAAAACAAGCCGCTAGGTCGTGGAATAAGAAAGCAACAGAGGTTCTGAAAAGCCTAGGGTACAAGCAAACTTGTTCTGAACCATGTATTTATACCAAGCAAAAGGGTAATTCTGTAATTAATATAGCATTGTATGTTGACGACTTCTTCATATTTTATAACGATAATGATGAAATTGAGAATTTAAAAAGAAAATTGCAACACTGTTTTAAAGTCAAGGATTTGGGACCGGTTAAGAAATGTCTAGGAATGTAAGTGAACAGAGATAGGGCAAAGAAAACTATAAAGTTAACCCAAACTCAATATTTGAACAATGTTCTTAAGAGATTTAATATTCCTAATGAGACTAAACCAGTTAGTCATCCAATAGAACCAAATAGCAAATTGAAACCGTTGCCTAAACCAAATAAATCTATCGAGAATCTAGATGATGTGCCATATCAACAAGCTGTAGGTTCAATGATGTATTTAGCTGTATGCACACACCCTGATATATCTTTTGCTACGACTTATTTGAGCCAATTTAACACTTGTTTCACAAGAGAGCACTGAGTTTTGTTAAAAAGAGTTCTAAAATACCTAACTACTACAAAGGATGTAGGTATTGTATATTCTCAGAATAATGATCAATTGGAAGGTTTTTCCAATGCAGACTGGGGTGGAAATTTAGATCGTAGATCCTTCACTGGATCTGTGTTCAAACTATCAGGAGCAGCTATCAGTTGGCGATGTAAAAAGCAAAGGACTGTAGCTTTGTCAACCACAGAAGCAGAATATATGGCGTTATCAGAGGACAGGAAAGAAGCCATTTTATTGAAAAAATTATGGTTTGAAATATGTAACAAGGAAATCACCATTCCTATTTTTGTGATAATCATGGTGCTTTAGCTATAGCGAAAAATCCTGTCAATAATGACCGAACAAAACATAGTGACATAAGAGTTCATTTTGTAAGAGTGAGGGTTGAATCAAGGGAATTGTCAGTACATTACATTCCTGGAAATCAATTACTTGCTGATGGTTGCATGAAAGGTTTAAATGTATGGAAACATACTGATTTTATTAATTCACTTGGATTGTGCTAAGAATAAGTTTCCAAATGATGTTCTAAATAATATTTTTCTGATATATTGATTAATGAATAAGTATTTTGTAAACTCCCAAAATTGTTTAAGGGAGAGTGTTATGTGGGCAACTCTCTAATGTTAAAATATAATGCTAGAGTTGGCAACGTCATAGTAAACAATTTTCAATAATAGACTGCGCTACATGCGCTGTTCCTAATTTCTCTACTGTTATGTGTTACTATGGTTATGTGTGTAAAAACAGAATCTCTCTATTGTTATGTGTTACCATGGTTATGTGTGTGAATATATATAAAATGCCTTTGTGTATCAAAAGGTTGGTCTTAATAAAGCAGGGTTAGCTTGAACACTGACTTGATCCACGTAGGACTGACAATAACACTTCCAACAAGACCCTGCTATTGTTCATACAGAAAGTGGATCCATTACACTTTGAGGGTAGTGTATGAAGGACAGCATCATTAACAGTAGAGTGTGATGGCAAGTTTCCCTAACCTCAACCTTTTTAACTTTTATTCTGGGGAGCTGTAAGGCAATTTAAGAACTTAAAAAAAATATTTGTAAGGAAGTTTACTCTATTTCCCAAGAAAAACTTCAATGTGTGAATGTAAACTTCTTATTGAGGTGCTAGGAATGTGTGCAGAGCAAGAGAGGGTATTTTCAGAATCTCATGCGGGCTTGGGTAAGTTTTATTTGCAATGTATTTAGATTTCCAGTTTGTTGGTATATATATATACACACACACACACAAAACTAAAAAACTATTCACAAAATTTACAGTCTGTTACTCATTTTCTGTCATAAATTTATCAAAATGGTAAAGGTGTCAGCCAAAAGGAGTTCTTCCAAAATTACTTTAAATTGCTGTTAGTGGATATACGCATAATTTTGAGCAGGCTCTTGTTTCATAGCTTCATCCCCACATGACAGACCCCATTTCAATACACATAAGTTTGACAATCAAGTGATCACGCTTGTATCTCATTCTGACATTGTGAACCTCTGAGTTTCAAAGATTTCTATGTTGTTAACCATAAATGATATTAGAGGCAGTATATGGAGCTTTTTCACTAGTTCTTTATATTACTATTTCTTCTTCATACATGCCACAATTCTCATAACTCTTTATTGCAAAAGGAACATTTTTAGTACTGTCAGCCAATTTACCTCACAAAAGGCAATTACACAGAAAACTTGACTGTTTCCTAGCAAACAGAATTCACATTCAGTTACGTGTATAGACGATATGCTGGTCAGAATGGTTTGTGATGTCCTCATTCTCCTTTACAAGATATCTATCACAAGTATGTTAAACTGCTGTAACTCTGATGGGAATGGATGGTTTCTAAACCACTTCTTCCCCTCAATCTTCAAATACTGAGTGACTTGTACATTCCAAAGAACTGTGATGGATGCATATAACACTCAGAATTACTGGGGTTTTGGACTACCCCCATTGTCAGGTATACTTGACAATGGATGAAATAAAAAATCGATTAAGTCTGACTGATTCTGAGTTGAGTCACCGGGGGGGGAATGAGGGTTCTCTGAATTTCTCAGCATCATTAAAAACAAACTCTGTAGTATATCAAGAAATTTAACAGTTTCTTCTTTACTTGCCATAACATGATAGGGAACGTTGTGCCAGTTTCTGGAACGGATTTTGGATTAACAAATACGAAACAAGTTTATTCCAGTACCCGTGCGAAACAATTTTGTATTTGGATATTTTGATTCGAAAGGTGTGACCCATTGACATAACGATTCTCGCATGCTACAACTTTACTATGTGCAACTTATAGAATACGTAAGCAAATTTCATTGACTGAATCTGTACTCTTTTAGCATGTACAACACAAACTATTTTTATAAACGTATTCAACCTAATTACATATTATTACGTTTTTTCGTTTATCTACCAAAGAGCAAACAAATTGCCATAATAAACATTCTTTGAATTGCAAATGAAATTGTAAATAAATGAGATGTCATATACATGTATTCGTAAAAACAGATGTGTTACACGTGCAAATTTAATAATTCCTCCTTATTTCACTCACCACATAACTTCTTACACAGAAAACCACGGATTAGTTTCTATATGCGAACGTCATACCACAGTTCACGCGGACTCACGAACGCTCACGAACCTCACGTAACCGCACGAAACGTAATTCCTGTAAAGCTAAACGACCGTGAGCGTCAAAGAGTCTAAGCGGTCAGATTGTTGGTTCTGAGAATTTTTCCGTAGGTCATCAAGGGTCGTCAATGACACGGTTATACTTGACCATACTTGACGTACTTGACATCCATACCATGATTATATCGATTTGTGAGATATCGATTATGTATCGAATATTCGTAACTCGCAGCCACTCACAGAGTCTCTGCAGGCCTCTGCTGGAAATTGACAGAACTATGTGCAGAGAAATAGGAAATAAGAATTCGACAAAAATAGTGCTAAGGCGATTTGTTTCATGATCCGATTCAAGAAGAACTTTATAGTAGTAATTATTAATTACGTAGTATGTTAAGATTCGTTGTTTCTTTGCTGAATAAAAATGATGATTATATAATCAAAGTATATATAAAGAAATCTCTATCCCAAAAACTTATACGCAAAATCCAATATGGCCGAACTTAGGTAGGCAGTAGAGATTTTTGTAACTTACAAACTGTACGAACGATAACTTTTTTGTGATCATAATGGTTAATATGCAGTGCAGGGTTTAACAAATGTTTCTTATATATGAACGTAGGTAGTTGATCATCTTCAAGCCTGTAATCAAAATGGACGATACTGTGGAACTTCTGGATACTGAAGGTTCTGTTGCCCAAGTGCAGTCTCAGCTTAGGACTAGTGCTCCAAAACAGAATTTCAGCTGTAAGCAAGGGCTGGACGATCCGAAGATACAAACTGAAGATAAGAACCGTAACCTGACTATAATACCTTCCTCACCAAAATTATCTCCGGAACAAAATGAAGACAAATTGACAATTTCTCAAGTCTCTGCACAGTTAAAAGAAAGACTTAATTTGAAAAGTGGATCTGGTGTAAATGGAATTGTGAATGGTTTAGGTATAGGCGTGGATCTGCCCCACACAGCAGAATCTGAACATCTCTCAGTTTCAAATGATACAACTCAGAACTCTGAAACATCTAGTCAATGTGATAAGTGTGGAAGTAATAGTATTGATTGTGAGACTTCAGTTACAGACTGTAGATCTGTTTCAAACTGTCTGAAAAGTCATCCTGATAAACTAAGTAGATCTAGTGAAAGCGTAAAATGTAATGATGTGGTATCCAAGGGTGATGCAACAGATAAGGAAGACAGTGTTAAATATGTATCCTATAAATCTGAGCTTCAAATGCCAGACATTATGAGACTTATTCAAAAAGATCTTTCAGAACCGTACTCTATATATACATATAGATATTTTATACATAACTGGCCAAAACTGTGTTTCTTGGTAGGTATTTTAAAAATATATATCATTCTTTATTAAATTGTGAAAACATCTATAATAAACATCTTATAAATTTATTACCCCTTGTTTGCAGGCAATGGATGGCAGTGAATGTGTGGGTGCCATTGTATGCAAGTTGGATGTTCATCGGAAGGTTGTGAAACGAGGTTACATAGCTATGTTGGCTGTTGATGAAAAATACCGGAAAAGAAAAATAGGTAAGAGCTTGGAAAGCTTCACATTGCTTGTAATACATATGTATTCTGAATTGTGATAAAGTATTAAAATTCTAGTAACAAGACATAAGGATGTTATTTTCCAAGAATCTAATTTGATTTTGTGTTTTCAGGTTCAAATCTGGTTTTGAAAGCAATCCGAGCCATGGTTGCAGATGATGCAGATGAGGTATGTTTTAAGACTTGGCTTATAGTGTTGAAAGTAAATAGGAAACAAAAATTAATTCAGCAATCATAACAAGGGACTTCAAGTTCTAGATACATTATGTACTTTCATAACCACAGAGTTTGCAGTCCAGTGCTTTTTATTAACACTGCAGTATTCTCTCCTTGTCATTTCTTTATTATTATTATTATTATTATTATTATTATTGTTGTTGTTGTTGTTGTTAATAATAATAACAATAATAATAATAATAATAATAATAATAATAATAATAATACTAATACTCAGTGAGTTTTCTTCCATGAAATACCATTGGTCATACTGCCTCCCCATTCATTTAAAAATGCTTTGTGTGTTACGTGTGTTACCTCATTGGATGATGCAAGCCTGCCCTATTTTCTCTTCCTGAAAACCAGACTATATACATTGAGAACTTTGATTTGTTTCATTCTGGTCCGTCACACTAACAATCACAAAGATAAAAACAACACCGTCCACTGTGAGTACTTAAGTTTTATCACTTGAAAACTCATCACCCTTACATGTTTCGATCCTTACGGATCATCCTCGGAGGGCATCAATACTTTTTCCGGAAACTACTATTACAATAGGTGTTAAATTATATACATACACATGTCTGAAATACACAATGTAACAGTGTAAACAACACAGCAAGCCACGAACAAACACGGACAATACTAAGAATCTCCTTTCTCAAGATAGACAGGCGGCACAAGATCAGCCACCTCCAAGAAAGACAATAGGAGAATTGACACGAACCTGCATGGTTTATAAATTTTAATCATAAACAACAAAGTTTTTAAAAATTTTAATACCAGGAAGGCTGCTGTGACTGTGAAAAGTTGAACATTGTGTACATTGTGTATTTCAGACATTATATGTGAACACCTATTGTAATAGTAGCTTCCGGAAAAAGTATTGATACCCTCTGAGGATGATCCATAGGGATCGAAACATGTAAGGGTGATGAGGTTTCAAGTGATAAAACTTAAATAGTGACACTGGACGGTGTTGTTTTTGTCTTTGGCATTGATAACTATCCAGGTTGTCAAATTGTGACACTAATAAAACAGGGATTAAAAATAAATCTTTTGAGAAAAACTAGCTTTTAATTAAAGTAATACAGAATTACAAATTTTGCCTTCATCAGTATGTCATTCAGTTTATTTCTCTATGTGAGGCAGGAATGAAAACATTTTTTAATCTTTACCTCCAGGAAATGCATCACATTTCTCTTGACAAGTTCCTTTAGTGATGTTTAAGAAGGTAATTACTTATTGTGAGGACTAGGCAGGAACTGAAAATTTCACTTGCCTTCTCACCTGATGCAAGATTTAACTATCAGACAAGTCAAAATTTGCAGTAGTTGCTTGAACTAATTTGACTTTGCTTCTTATATGTTCTTATATGTTTTTTTTTTATTATTGCTATTGGGGTGGGACTATGTCCCTTGTACTGTGGCCACTTCTGGCCTGTTTTACCAGCCCCAGATGATAGGTGAGGGTGATTGTGGAGCAATTGGTGGAATGAAGATTGGCAGGGGAAACTGAAATACTCGGAGAAATCCTGCCCCAGCGCTACTTTGTTCACCACAAATCCCACTTGACCAGACCCCGGGATTGAACCCGGGCCGCTGCGGTGAGAAGCCAGGGATTAACCACTTGAGCTATGGTGCGGCCTCTTATATGTTTTAGTTTTGGCATTATTTTGGTGAATTTCTGTTATGGATTAGATGCAGTTTTACATATTTTGACCCTGATAGCTCAATCTGTATAGTGACTAGGCTGTGAGCTGGACAGTTGTGATTCTGTTTGATTCCTGGTAGGGGCAAGAGATTTTTCTCTTTTGTATGGAATCTGAAAACCTGGAACTTGGCTCATTTGGTATAGCAACAGGGTATATGCTGGATGGTTGGGGTTCAATTCCTGGGAGGGGCAAAGTATTCTTCTGTACCTCACAGCCTCCATACTGGCTGAGTCATCCATCCAGGTACTGGGTATTGTTTCCCTTGGTGGGGGGGGGGGTAAAACAGCTGGTGCATGAATGTGTTCATTCATCTTCACTTAATGCTGAGGTCAAACATGGTGGAGCTATGCTTACATTCCAACATACATCTTCATGGTGTGGTGCTTGCATAATTAAGCACAAGGACAACTTTACTGTGTACCTTTATGTATTATCTTATACATACATACATACTTTATTTCACTTCCATAAATCCTATCAGGAGTTACAAACTCATGTGGATGTGGAGATCGTCTTGGTTACAAATTTGGCACAAGATACAACTTGTCGTACAAATATCATAAACATTCTAATACAATCCATTACAAGTAAATTACAAGTGGAAAACAGTCCTGTCATACATTATTAGCACATACATATTAATGATAAAATTCAATAAGAGATACATAATAGTTACAATATAAATAAGTAATATAAAATAAGATATTACAATGCTTGTATACAATAAAATAAAATAAAAGTTACAAAATACCCAATATAAATAATTATAAATACAAAAATACAAATCTGGCTATTTATCTCCTTTTAGAGTAGAGTTATTCAAATACCTTAAGGGGATTTGTAACAGAAATATTCTTGTAATGAATAAAAAGAGTGTAGTAGTAAAAATTGTTTCAGTAGTACTTCAAACATCTTAATATCACTTGATACATCCTTAATGTGTTGTGGAAGATTATTGTAGACCTTCGTTCCTGAATAATAGATTCCCTTTTGATACATCCTCAAATTTACTAGGGGTAGATGGAGGTTTTTTTGTTGCCTAGTATTTTTCCTATGGATCTCTGAATTTACTGTGAATTCACTTCTATTTTTTGCTACAAAAAGCATAAGAGAAAGTATATACTGAGATGCCAAGGGCAATATTTCTAGTTTTTTAAATAATTTCCTGCACGAGTCCCTCCTTCTACAACCCAACATAATTCTAATTATATTCTTTTGCATCCTGAATATTTTTATGCTTAAGGGTGAGTTGCCCCAAAAGGGTATCCCATAATTTATGATTGAATTAAAATAAAATAAATTAAAATAAATAATTTTGGCAACATAACATATGAAGAAAACACAGACACTCAAAGAAACAGACAATATAAAAACCAAGACTCTTCAGCATCCACTATGCAGAAGTCAAAGACAGTGAAGAAAGTTTCACTCTAATTGGCTGAAAGAGTTTTCATGGTTACAGTATGACACAAATGTGAAGTGACAAGTTCTGTCTTCAGTGCATAAATTAACCAAAAAGTTAGGAACATTTTCACTGTTTCATTTAAGGTAGAAACTTTCTGATCACATGGAAAGTCAGAAGTACAAACAAAATATGCAGAAAGTTTATTTGCCCAGAAGATACACTGCTTGCTGTGTATTTAAAAGAAGTGGAGCAAGAAATGTTTGGGTGCATAATAGTTGTGTTCAGTACAGGATTCAGCAATAGTAAGCCATTCAATGATGTGAAAGACAGTTTAAATGTGCAAACAAATTACTGTAGATTCAACACAAAAGTAATAATAAGCAGCATAAATAATTTGTGAATTTAATTGCTAACGTAATCTAAATTGTAGCTGAAGTGCTACTGTATTATCTCCTCCACAGAACTGTGTCAAGTGCCAGGCCATGCTGTGATTTCCCTAATTGTCACCCTGAGTGCATCAACTTATGCTCACATTCTGTGACGATGGCTCTTGGTCAACCACTCTAAGAATCTCCTCCACAGAACTGTGTCAAGTGCCAGGCCATGCTGTGATTTCCCTAATTGTCACCCTGAGTGCATCAACTTATGCTCACATTCTGTGACGATGGCTCTTGGTCAACCACTCTAAGAAAGATAGACAGTGTTCCTGTTGCTCTCTTTAAAGTGTTTCACCCAACATTGCACACTGCTGGCACCATGCAGGAATCTCCATAGACATGATGAAGTCAGTGATGTTTGGAGCAAAATTGTTCTCTTTGAGGAATCACACACAGCATACATGATACAGCATATAGAATGGATTATGGATGGTGGTAGCGTAATTGGTTGAGGCGCCATGCTACAAGCCAAAAGGTCGTGGGTTCAAGTCCTGGTGAGGTGATTTTTTTTTTCCCATTGACCAAATCCTTCCTGCCACACTACGGCCCGGGTGTCGACTCAGCCTCTTAACAGAAATGCGTACCAGGAATCTTCCTGGTGTGTAAGGCTGACAACCTTACTTCCATCTGTGAGCCAGCTGTCTAGAGAAAATGTGGGAACCTCAACATCTCACAACCCTAAGGGCCGTCACGAACTGTTACAGGGATAACTTTACCTTTTTATGGATAAGTATTGGTGCTGATGTGCTGTATCTGTATTTCAGATTGCAGAAAACATACAGCTATTGACCCTATAACCCCTAGTATCATTATATCAATAAAACAGACATAAGTGGATTTTCTCATTACTTTCAGTATGACCCTCATATTTGAAAGATGTCAGAGAAGTCATTCCTGTGTTAAAGAACATGGGGAAGAATACTTATTAGCAGTACAAGAAGATCCATGTAGTCTGTTTCTTAATTGGAAGGATAAACAAGGTCTAGTATGACTCAGCACGATGGAGCTCGCAGTATGACTGGAATATAGTAATGTTCAGGGAGAGAGAGAGAGAGAAATATAGCAAGAGATAGAGTCGTGTGTGTAGATTTCAAAAGCTCAGTGTTTTTTTTTGTTGGATTTGAGGTTCTCACAGCAGTGGCTCTGAAGAATTCTGTCTTCTGGGATAGTGTCTGGTGAAGTCAGCTGATGTTTCAAAGCAATGTATCACCTCCATCTTCAGGGTTGGTAAGTAAGCTAAGCAAGAAACAAACATGAAGCAGGCAGCAGGCAAAGATCTGAAGATGGAGATGGTATTTTCCTTCAAACATCAGTTGACTTTCACCAGACTACACAACATTATGTCCTAGAAGACAGACGTCATTAGAGCTGCTGGTTTGTTATATATGATAATTGTGGTCACTATCTCCTATTGTGTACCTGGCAACCATATGGCTTTTAAATGAACTGACCTGAATTTAATAAACTTTACATGGATGCCAGTTCTAATTAATTATTTAATTTTTTAACAGGTTGTTCTAGAGACAGAAATCACAAACCGCCCAGCTTTACGCTTATACGAGAATCTTGGCTTCGTGCGAGACAAACGGTTGTTCCGGTATTACTTAAATGGTGTTGATGCTTTGCGCCTAAAATTGTGGCTGAGATGAAGATAGCATCAGAACTACTTGACGACATAGTTCATAATATATTTACTGAGTATGAGACCAAGGATGAGAATTGAGCCAATATTTTACATATGTACAGACTGCTGTTGAAAGCTGTTCAGTTCCATAATTCAATACTTTGAAAGGACAAACTAAATGAATGTTGCTTCTCTCTTGTATTTGATTAAATATGGGGTTACTGGGTTTATTACCAGGTCATGATAAATACAAATAATTTATAATGAAATTAGTTAGGTGCCATGCTGTCTTAGAGGGAAAGGAAATTGTTGCTCTACTTGCTTTCATTGTTAACTGACTGAAACCACACTGATCTGCGTGAATGGTCTAAATCAATTGTTATGGTCCCAAATTTGAGTGTAAGTACCAAAAAGAATGAATGTATGAGGAGTAGGCCTTCTCGGCCCTTGCACCGCGACCTACGGTGGTCTATTGTGCTTTACCAAAAGGAAAGTAAATACTGTAATTTGCATTGTATAAAAGAGAATGAACATTTTGTGAATGTTTGTGGTGGTCACTTATGCTCTGGTTGATACAAGGACATTGGTTTTTCAGCATTTACTGCCTTTTATGTTTAACCATTGACATTGGGATAATCTCAAAATCAACACATTATTTCTTTAGTAAATTATAATAAACAAAACCCACTGCAAAAACATAAATTTGTATTTAACATCTATATCGCTTGTACTTGGTTACTGTGCAGATAGCATGTCGCTTTAAGAAGTAACTCATATTTAGCAGTACAACCAGAAGAATGTAATGGTTTGTGGAAAACTGTTTTTCAAAAGATTTAGTACCTGTATTAAAAGGTTTTATTGCTATGTGAAAGCTCTAATTTTAATTTGGACAGTCTGTAAAATACCTGTTACAATTGTTTCATTCAGTTTTCGTTGTTCATGTAATGTAGTTAAATGTCTGATGTGTGAAGGATTGAAACATGTATTTATAGGCAAAATTTACTAAACGTTTATACTGTAAAATAAATGTAAATACATAATTATTTTATTACTTTGTTGGAAATGCAGTTACTGTCAAAAATATTGGCCCCTGGATCTAATTGTTATAGGCACTTACCTCTGTTTATCTCCAGGATAGAGAAATTAAATTTCCCTTCTTGTTTCTGTCCTAGACAGAATACTAGCCATGGCTTCTCATCTTCAAGACTTGTTTATATGTGTGGGGATTTAACATTGAATAATTGTGCAGATAACAAAGATAAGGGCATACCTAGCCTATTTTATTTAAAAATGATCCTAAAATGAAACTGGATATATGTGAAATGAGAACTGCGAATAATGAACACTGTTTCTGCTATGAAACTGGAGAATGTATGGCAGAGGGAAAGAAGACAGCAGGAATAAGAACAGTTGGCTGTAGACTTAGAAACTCTGTTCTTTAAAATAATATCAGAAATGTTCCAATTCCTGGAAATAGGTTATCTATTATTTACAATATACTTCTGAGTGATCAGAATTTTACATGTTCTGTATTACATTTCAGGAAAATTTGAGCCAGAGCAAGGTATAGGTCATATTCTATATGATTTTTCATGAGAGCTGTGGTTCTTCCTGAACATGTATATGTGAAGCCAAGTTTCCATCCCATTACAAGAGGGGTGAACCACTGATTTCTCTTAACAGTTGTGGACTGGAGTGACATTCTGAGGGTAGAAGAGAATTACTTACATGAAGAATATGGCTACAATTAAGTACAGTTATGCCCTAAAATTTATCCCTTACACGCCAAGTATGGACTGGAGGGATGTGGTGTATAGAGCAGAAACTTGGTTAATATGATATTTTAACTGCAGGGTATACAGTTTATTGTTAGACCTGTTGCTGTAGCAGACGTGGCACACTAGTCTCACATAGACCTGCCACTTTTCTGCTGCAATGTAACTAACCTTATATTCTAGTAGAGTCTCAAATTGATGACCCTCTGCCTCTAAGCATGCCTGACATCATGAGACTATGTTCCTAGACACATGGCAGTGCTGCTGTACGGGAATAGCAGAAATTTGATGCGTAATATTTTATTCAAGTTCTTTTATAGAGCCCGGATTATTCACAACTTTTCTTTCAGCATGTCCACAAATAAAATCAAGGATTTGAATCAGATGATGGTAGAGTCTTTGACTTACAAATCGTTCGGTGAAGACATGTCCACCAAATTATTTGCAGAATGTGCCCCTGTATTATCATGCATAAAGTTCCTGTGCAATTTCTCTTATCAGTCAGTTGATGGAAGAAGAGTGACAGAATCAGTATCACATAATGTTTGGAATGTGTTACATGAAAAGAACCACGAGTGCAATGATCTTCTATACACCAACTGCACACCAAACCCAAACTTTTAATTTATGCAATGGCACTTCATGAAAATCAAGAGTATTTTGTTTCCTCTATTTTAGTCTATTCTGGCTGTTTATGTAACCATTTAAAGTGAAGTTCATCTCATAGAATACAACATAAATTCTGGGTCAAGAATTTCATTGAATACTGAATTCTGGCTTTGCTGTTTGGAGGCAAGAGGCTATGTATGACTAGTTTTGCAAGGCTGTAACTTTAACAACTTTGTGCCAACATGAGCTCTTCTTTTTGCCAAACCACACTAAAGAGGCAAAATATGTGACCTCTTCGGGTTTTGGCCAATTGAGTACCAATGTCATCAAATATTTCTTCAGCCAGTACATATTTTTGAGATTTCTTATCCATCACTGATCCTGTACAAAATATTGCTATGCATATTGTCCTGTCATGATACTTCCTACAAAATTTTCTACATAAATAAAGTTGTACAGAGGTAGCATATACAAATAATTTTTGTTCACTATATTTCACAACACTGAACAGTATTTGTACATATATCAAAGACAACCAAATACTAAACAAGCACTGGGTGACTAAGTGATGATTTAGAGGCCAGCAGTGAACAGGCTTGGGCAAACAAATTTCAAGATGGCTGGTCTGAAGATAAACTGAATTTGTTGTATTAACATGACATTTACATCTCACAGGGGCTAGAAATGATTTTTTACAGTTTTTGGTTATTCAGGATTGTGGATATGTTAAGGGCATTGAAATTTTACTTTACAAAGGACTTTCAGTAATATTAGTGTTATTTTATAAAAATGAAGGAAAAGTTTATGCTCAGATAAGGAAATGTATAACTTCTCCCACGGACATTAGATGGAAAATAACATTTATTATTAGAAGCTGTTGAGAATTGAAAAATTGTGTCTACTTAAAAGACTGTTGGTAATAGAGCTTATGAAAAACAAGGGAAAACAGATATGAGATTATAAGTCTTCTCAGGTGATTGTATGAAAATGGAATTAGTATCCAACATTTTGGAATCTCCATCTCCATCATTGATTGATCTCATGGCTGCATGTATGAGGGTCGTACTGAAAGTCATGAGCAACAATTTTTTGTAAAGTAACATGCTTTATTATTGACAAACCAAATACACCACCTTAATCTACAGACCTTTCTTTATTCTTCCACATAATCGCCACTTCTTTGTGCACATTTCTCCTAGCATTCTGGGAGTTTGAAAATTCCCCTTCTGTAAAATTCCGTTCCAGCCATCCGAAGTCACTGACGCACTGCTTTCTGAATTGCCTCCCTTGTCTCAAAACGTTGTCCACGCAGCTGATCCTTCACAAATCCAAAAAGATGGTAGTTGGAGGGTGCCAGATCAGGGCTATAGGAGGGGTGTGGAAGAACTTCCCACCCCATCTTCGCAACTGCTTCCAGTGTGAGGTGAGCAGCGTGGGGGCGAGCGTTGTCATGCAGGATGATGATGTTTCATCCCGGATGTTTATCGTGCAATGCACAACGGAGCTTGTGCAGCATCTGGACATAACGAGCAGCATTGATGGTTTGCACAGGTTCCAGGAATTCAGCCAGAATAGCCCCTCTGCATCCCAGAAGACTGTGCCCATCACCTTTGCAGCTGATGGTACTCTATTTGCCTTCTTTATTGGTGGAAAATGCAAATGGTGCCATTCCATACGCTGCCGTTTTGTTTCATGCTCGAAATGGTGAAACCAGCTTTCGTCACCTGTCACAATACAGAGCAAAAAATTATCACCTGTGTGTCGATATCTCTGCAGCAGTTCTGAGGTGATGGCTTTTCGCTGACCTTTGTGGTCTTCGGTCAATAACCATGGGACCCAGTGAGCACAAACTTTCCTATAGCACAAGCTTTCAATCATCTCCTGTACTGCACTGTGCCCTATTCCAAGTTTTCAGGCTATTGTGTCCACAGTCACATGCCTGTCATCTTGAATGATCTCATCCACTCTTTCCTTGTTGCGTTCAGTTGAGGCTATTCGAGGACGACCGCTCTGAGGCTCATCTTCGATGCTAGTGTTCCCATCTTTAAAATGTTTCACCCATCTTCAAACACTGCTCGCACCCATGCACACACACTTCCATAAGCACGCTGAAGTCTCTGGTGAATTTCTGCAGCAGGGATTTCCTCTTTCACAAGAAATTCAATGACAGCACGCTGACAAAAGGACATAATCATTGTCGGCCATTTTGTTAGGAGTGATGCTGGTCATGTGATGCAAGCTATTGATGTCACAAGACACTCAAGGTTAACACAACAGCTGGTTCCACCTACCACCATACTCTCTTTCATCTGCTGTTCCCAGGTTGCATGCAAAAAAAAGTTGCTCATGACTTTCGGTACAACCTACGTATTTATACCCACAGAGTTTGGCCTTGACTATCCCATTATGGATTGCTGAGAGGAACAGTGGGTGGAGTAGAGTCAGATTGTGAGTCATTGCCATCCATGTAGCTTATCCTGGACACTATGGCATGCTAGCTGTCAAGTAATTTGTAACAATGTTTTTTTTTACTGTCCTACCTCTTTGAAGCATATTGGTGGCTGGGTACCACAAATGGCTGAATGAATACCAGTATGCACGTAGATGCTGCCAGATGTCAATGGCATCCTTCACTAAGCAGTCCATATAGCCTGTCATTTTAGCCAGTACCATCTGACCTTTAAGTTCATCTGGTGCTCTGCCACCACTGACTTATCTGGATGGAAGTCATATGTGCTCTGCATATTCATTACCCCTTATTTTGATTGTGAGACGATCTGATGTACACCATGCCACATTCAAATGGGATGTGTACATCTGGGACCCTAAGGCTGAAGCCATCTTTTTCTGGTTTAACAGGTGAGCATTCATTTTTGTTGGAATATGCACAGTGTTTATGCTGAACCACATCAGAGTCTTCTGATCTTGTCAGGCATGGTCTACATATAGGGTATAGTGGTCATCACAGCTGGCCTCTCTTATTGTGAAAGTGACTTCGGTCACTTCATTATTTCAGAGTGTTCTCCAAGGACTGTAATGGATAAGACAGGATGTGTGCAACCGTAGCTAGAAATGGTATGTCAGATTTGTTCATTGGAATTTTAGTGTGCTTCAGTCAGTAGTGCAGCTTGACCTTTGCCAAAAAGTTACCTCTGAGTAGCGGCACACTTATTCTATTAAGTCATCTTTCCAAAACCTTTCAAATTTATAGTGCGCATATATTAAGTGAAATCATGATTTCAAAAGCTGCAGTCTATGAGAGTGGTAATGAAATGATTTTGGAAACCACAGACAAAGATGGGAATAGTCACCTTTTCCCATTGAAATTTCAGCAGGTTTCATACTAGTTATTTATGCTTCCAAATGCCACAGTGTGCTTCTATTAAGTGTGGATCCAAAGTCATTCAACTTTAAAAGTTGCACTGTAACTATAAGTACTGTAATGTTTATGTTTTGGAACAGTTAATGTCTGATTGTCGGTAGGAACTTCAGAGCTTGATGTCACCTTGTTTAGTCCACTACTCTTCCAATGTAGCCCACTGCACTATTCTCTTCTTGCCTTATTGCTGCCAGCACTGAACTAACTTTTTGTCTCACAGTACACATCGTTTCTAAGCTCAGCCAGACTCAACTGCAATCAGCTTAGCCACTTCCTCAGACTGCTTTGCTGAACTACAGATTTATGCTGGTTAGAACTTCAAGTTAGCGGACTCTGTAGTCTAGGGGTAATGTTCCCACCTCATGACTCAAGGTATGCGGGTTCAAATCCGGCAGAGGTCGTGGAATTTTTAAGGGTGGAAAAATTCAGGGAACAAGTCCTCTGGGAGGGACTTTAAGCCGTGGGTCGTGTGTCGTAGATTTACGGCACGTAAAAGATCCTCATGTCTCTAGGACACCTCTGAGCAAAATTAGGCAAAATGTTTCCCGCCCAAGTAGTTTCCAATGCCTCCGGTAGATCGGGTACCAATGCCAGTAGAGGGCCGACCTTGCTGGCAGAAGGGGGAGAATTATTGGGTACCACTGCCAGTAGAGGACTGACCTCGCTGGCAGAAAGGGGAGATAGCGGGCACCAGTATCGGTAGGGTATGGCGACAGTAGAAATTATAGGGGGATGTACAATAGACTATAGTCGCGGTGCATGGGGAAACCCACCCCCTCTATACTGAATAACTGAATAATAGAACTTCAAGAATGTTTGTGTTATAACAAATTAGCCATTTTCCACTTTTCTTAAACAAGAACAAGAACGCTTCAGAAGGAAGGCATGCGCTTGTCAAGTTACACCTCCCACTCCTCATTCAGTCCCATGACAATACACAATTATGGATCATCTCAGGTCATCATACATCTAATTACTGCCTTTAAGTTAAAAGATAATTCATTTCTGTATAATGACTTTCAAGCAACATGTCCCCTTTGTAAAGTGGAATTGTCTACATGATCTGCAGTCAACCACTACACAGTAGCGAGACATATAATACTGTACTTTTTGACACTAACATACCGATAAATGTTTGATATAAAGATACATTGCAACCGGTATGGCAGACTAAATGATATTTTGCATATATCTTTATCATTATACATTTTACGACATCTTTTTATCCCTTTGGGTCACAGCTATCCAATAAAGTATTATTCACAGTTAATGCAAATTTTATTAATTTATGGTCCAGTACTCTCACATCATCTTAGTTTTGGATTAAGTATTACAGTGTGTTCGTATTAGTGTATCCATGTAGAAAAGGCTGTACCATAGCTCAAGCAGTTAGTCGCTGGCTTCCCAATGCGGTGGCACTGGGGCGGGTTTTCTCTGGGTACTTCGGTTTCCCCTACCAATCTTAATTCCACCAGATTCTCCATCGTCATAATCACCCAGAGCAGGTACAATAGGCCAATCAGTGGCCGCCATGCCGAGTGGACCCAGTTGGACTCCACCCCCCACTAAGCAAATCCACGTAGAAAAATCTGCTCTGCTGTACCACAAACCATTTTGTTGTTTGTGATGGCAACATAAATTTAATGACTGAAGGTTCTTGGGACTCCCACACATCACTTTTTGTCACCATCAGAATACAGTTCTTGTGGGGCATGCCCTATAGAGGAAATTGTGTTTCTGCAGTAATAGGCCTGTCTTTTGAATTTCACATACAGAAAACTGTGGTTTGTTATTTATGAGTACTCAAACACAACTAAATTATCTCAAAACAAAAATTATAATACATCATACCATAATCTAGTGTAAACTTGCTTTTTTCACCAGATCCTTCGGAGCAGCTTCTTTAAGAAGTGCACATAAATCTCACATTCCATGTATACAAAATGGAACTCTTCTAAATGGTACAAATATAAACCATTCAAAACGTAAGAAATGTATGAAAATGTGTGCCCTATTAATTTTATTGGAGCACACCATGCCCCTTTCTTGAAACAGAAGAATACCTGTTATTTTATCAAAGAGAGCCCACCAATATGAACATTTCTTGTATTTTATTTTTTATGATGTATTATTTTGGAGAAATGGGGTAGTTTTTGAACACTCTTGTGCTTAATTTTCAAAATAAATACTCTTAGGGTTGCCTTTCCAAGAGGCACATTTCTGATACTATTTTTTCAACAATGCACAGTTTGGGAGAAATGGACATATTGACATGTGGCATGTGCATACAGAAAAATCTGCAATGTAATCTCAGGAATAGTTTTTGCTGGTGTTGGTCGGTTGCATATATTTAGCTTCTCTAGATTCACTGACTGATGCATGTCATACGTTTTTTTTTACAATGTAAATAATCTTGTCACAGTCCCAATGCTTTTCCTATGAGATGAAACTAGAGAAAGAAATTCGCTTGGATTCAAATTCATGCATGTAACAGCAAAATTAATCATTTTCCCAGGGTCGTTTCTCGAAGAGGAACATCATTTGCCTTTACCATTTTCTTCTACAGAGCATTCAGGAGAAACAATGGGAGAGATGTTCCATTTCAGAGTCAAACTGTAAGAAGTGTTTCAGCTTCTAATATTTCATATAACCTTGCTCAGTTGAACTTTTGATATAGCACCTGCTCAACTAGAAGAAAACAATACTTTCTTGCTTGAAAGCAAATGGGGGATGGGGGAGAGCTTCAGCCATTTCATTGGTTAAAAATTAGATATAACAGAGCAATATTTTAAAAATTATGACAAAAGAGATCCATAACAAGATTTAGGGGCCCAAAATGTTGACAGGATTGGATAAATGGTATGGTAGCCTTTGGTTTTTGAAGGGTTATTTAAAATAAAAAAATTATTTCATTATCACTTTACATAGAGATGTTATTCTGTTAAGTCTTCATTTAGAACCAACCATTTACATAATTATATATTTATATATATATATGTATATATATTTTAGAAACTGAAAATTTATTCTGTTGACAATTTAGTGGCTGGTAATAAATGTTTTGTTTGCAACAAAAACATTTTCTTAAAACTATTACCTTCCTCCTTTATGCAAACTTTGTGTTTTTCTTTTAACTGCTTTAACAAGCAACGATAATTCAGGATCCCTGCCAGAAACTGTGTCCATCTTCTGAATTTTAGCTGGTAACTGAAAAAATAATCATACTATTTACTTATGTGTTTCATTTTCATTTTTAGCCTACTTTCATTTCTTAAGGAAAGAATGAGACTTCTCAGCTCATCATGCTATGTGTACTCCATTTCAGTTTTTGAACACTGATTTTCCAAAATCTGGTAAGCACATACTGTCATTAACCCTTTTTGTACTGGAAGTTAATGTAGAAACTGCACTGAACTGTGTATAAAGTGAATAAGCAGTTATTTTAAACCCCATTCAATTTCAATCCAAACTGTATTTCCTGGACCTTCCTAAGGGTATATTCTAAATAAAAAGTTGAAAAGCAATTGTTTACATATACAGACTCTATTACAGGTTTAGAAAGGAATTGAAGACATAATTTTAAACCAAATAAATGGTGTGAATGCACTGAAATGGAAGAAAATTGCATCCCAAACACAGCCATGAGCAAAAAGGAAAGGCTGGAAATGCCAGAAAATAATGAATTGTCCTAAGAAGGGAGAAGAAGAGGCTCCTAGTTCTCATCTGAGAAGTTGGTGATGATGATGATGATGATGTACTTCATACTTGCTACAGCCAGTAACAAACTTTTACAATAATCCACATGATTAGTCTGAAAATTTATCCACAAGTTATTATCTGGCACTCAATCACGAGATTCTGAAGGACATATGTATGCATTATGCTTACCCCATTTGGAATGTCATTCATCGAACACTGTCTTCGATATAATTTCTCAGCCCTGAAAGCCTCCATTCCTTTGGTTTCATGGTAATGAGAGTCAGTAGGGTCTATGTTGAAATGATGCGAAGAGAAAAGTGCAGAAAACCTCTCATCTTTCACATTGACCTAAAATTTGAAGCCAGTATTTACCATATATTTCAGGCAAAAATAATTTGCTTATTAGTACTGGGTAGTTAGCAGTCTTGTTTTAGTTTATTACCACAGGATTCAGCTGCAGATCCTGAGGAAAATTAAGAAAATTAACACATTCATTTTCATTATTTAATCTACAGGAATCCCAAATTGATAGCAGAGCCACATAGTGGTTGTGATCTTCAGATCCCATAATTCTATGACAATTAAACTTGATTACAACTTGAAAAGATTACATAATAATAATAATAATTTATTCTTATATTCAAGTAGATCCAATTACAGGGCGAGAAACAAGTTGTCACACCACTGGATATAGAATGCACCAAAAATCAAAACAAATGTTCCAACCAATCACTGGAACAAGTCAAAATAACATAATATAAAACATAGACAACGCAGTCACTAAACATAATAAAATGTGACTACAACAAGACTTAAATACTAGATGAAAATATTTTATCTTATAAAATTCATCCAGTTTATAAAAACAATGCATGTAAATGGATATTCTCAATAAATAACACAATATCAAATACAGTGGAACCTCGCTTAACGAGCATAATTCGTTCCAGAATCTTACTCGTAATGCGAAACAATTTTTCCCATATAAATTAATGTAAAATACGATAATGCGTTTCATGCCGAAAAAAATACTCAAAAAATTTTATGTATAACGTTTATTCAAAGAAAATTATATATACATTGTTAAGGAGCGTGAATCATCTTGATCTTTTCTTCT